GTTATATAGTGATATAAACGGTTATATAGATTTATATATAGTTATATGGCATTATTGATTTTATATAGTTTTATAGTGTTAAATAATAGTGTTATTATATTATAGTGTTATACGCACGCAGTTCAAAACTTTCGATGATAATTCAATATAGTTTGAGACCACACCTTGCTTGACATCCGATTCCAAGCCGAACTAAGCCAGCTGAGCCAATATGCGTTGATTTATGAGCGCTTTAATGATAAAATTTGGATTATATAAAGTTATATAGTGTTATATACGGTTATGTAGATTTATTTTTATTTATAAAAAGTTATTGTTTATGTATAGTCATCAAGGGATATATACTGTTATATTGATTTATATATAGTTTGATAGTGTTATTGATTATACATAGTTATATAGTAATATATACGGTTATATAGAATCATAAATAGTTATGTAGTGTTATTTATTAAATTTAGTTATATCGTGTTTTATTCGGTTATATAGATTTATATATAGTTATGTTGAATTATTTGATTATATATAGTTATATAGTGTTATATACGGTTATATAGATTTATATATATATATAGTGTTATTGATTATATAAAGTTATATAGTGATATATACGGTTATATTAATTTATATATAAATAGTGTTATTGATTATATATAGTTATATAGTGATATATACGGTAATATAGATTAAAAAATATAGTTATGTAGTATTATTGATTATACATAATTTTATAAATTAGATTTTTTTTTAGTTATATAAAGTTATTTTTTATATATAGACATCTAGGGATATATACTGTTATATTGATTTATATATAATTGCATAAGGTTATTGATTATATAAGTTATATAGTGATAAATACAGTTATATAGATTTATATTTAGTTATGTTGAATTATTTGATTATATATAGTTATATAGTGTTATATACGTTTATATAAATTTATATATAGTTATGTAGAGTTAATAATTATATAGAGTTTTTTAGTGTTACATACGGTTATATAGATTTTTTATATTTACATA